CCTTGGAGCTGCTCTCCGGAGCCTCCTACTTGCTGTACAGGTGGGGAGAGAGATGGGGGCTAATGTCAGGGTGTCCCCCTCCCCCTGCTCCTGCACCCCACTTACTCCATCTCAATGGGGGCGAGGGGACACACATGACAGGGTTCAGGACAGAGGGAGCTTCCAGGCAGCAGCAGCTGCTATCTCAACTTGCTGATCTACTTCAAAAAACAGTTTACTTAGAGTGGGGTCAGTGTACTTAAAGGGGCAATGCACATCTCTCACTCTCTCACACAGGGTGTGTGTCTCTGTCTGCCATGCTGTCTCCCCTCCCTCCATTCGTGCTGCCTTGTAGAGTGTGCGGCTACTTTAACAACAATGGGTTAACCTTTGAGGGCTCAGCCAAAAGCTAGTTCATCATTTAGCAGTAAGGCATTCCTTGGGAAATATCCCACCCTCTTCTACCCTCTGACTTCACCACCTCAACCAAGCTTCACAATCATCACCGCTGTGTACAGTATTAAATTGTTTGTTTTAAAACTTATACTCTTCCTCTCTCTCTGTATATAGATATATATAGAGAGAGTCTTGTCTGGTGAAAATTTTTTCCCTGGAACTTAACCCCCCCATTTACATTAATTCTTATGCGGAAATTGGATTCGCTTAACATCTTTTCACTTAAAGTTGCATTTTTCAGGGACGTAACTACAATGTTAAGTGAGGAGTTACTGTACTATGGTGATGGGTACTGTAGAGCAGTGATTCTCAAAGCTGGTCTGCCGCTTGTTCAGGGAAAGCCCCTGGCGCTCCGGGCTGGTTTGTTTACCTGCTGTGTCTGCAGGTTCGGCTGATCACGGCTCCCACTGGCCGCGGTTTGCTGCTGCAGGCTAATGAGGGCTACGGGAAGCGGGACAGGCGAAGGGATGTGCGGGCCAGGGGCTTTCCCTGAACAAGCAGCAGACTGCCTTTGAGAACCACTGCTGTAGAGAACCCTAAGTGTTTGTCTACTTGGGGACACTCAGGAAAGTTAATATGTGTTAAGCAAAGGTATCAAGTATTAGCTTGTATTAGTATTAACTAAAGTGCATTAAACCCTTGTGTGAACACTCTCATTGAGAAGTAAAGTGGCCTTAGTTAAGCTAAAGCAAACTGAGGCTACTTTACTTCTCATGTGTGCCCACAAAAGAGAGATTTACATATGCATATGGTCAATTGAATGAATGACTGGTCACGTGCACTTGAAAATACACCAATTTGCATGTAAGGATTTAGGATTTGCACACACTAGTTAGGTTTATGCAAATATGTACACAATCCTAACTTTAAAAACTTGCCCAATTTGAGAAATTTTGACTGTAACTCCTGTAGTTTACCAATATGTGTGTATATATAATAGATATACAAATGGTTCTGATTTACTGAGGATTTCTTGATGATTCTCTTTGGTGGGTCCTACTTAACCTCTGTTTTGAGGCGTAAAGTTGTGTGTAGAGCTTGTACTGACCCACAGCAGAGAGGTGAATTTCACTCTGGATGTTTTTCTACAGAGTACAAAGGATTCCATTATCTTCTGGCATTCTGAATGCCAGCATAGGGCTGATGTGAAGTTCAACTATGCAGAGCAACTTTACAGCCAAAATAAACGTAGTAGAGTCCTGCTGTTGACTCACTGTGAATTTGTAAATAAAAGAGTTTGAACTTTGTAAGATAATGAAATCCCTGCATTCTTGCCTACTCAGTGTGAAGTGAAGGAGTTTCCTGCACATGGACAAAAGCTGAAAGTTGCCTTCATCTTTTATTTGTGTAAGTACAATAGCAGCTGAACATGAAAAAGTAGCAAGACTTTGTATTTATACAGCTCTTCTTATATGTAAAGTATAAGTATAATCCAATCTTATATGTACCAATAATCCTCAAAATGTCTGCATTAGGTGAAAATGAAGCAAAGTGATTAAAAGACTTGCCAAATATGACACAAAACCAGTGGTAGCCTTATGTATTATTTGTGGTATAGTAATGCCTAGAAATCTAAGTTAGCCATGTACTAGCACTTATTATAGGCAGAACTGTTAGCGGCACCTATAATTAAGATTGAGTAACATTTTTCATTATAAGACCCTGTTTACTTATTATTTTGTCTGAATTCAGGCTGAAATTTTCCATGGAGAGTGTCTGCCTCAAGCTGATTTTTTAATTTTTTTTTTAAATTTCCAGCTAAAATGCTTTAGCCATTTCTCAGAACAAAGTTAGGGGAAAATACATTGTCTTGCCAACGTTTGAAAAAAAAATTCTTACAACCATTTCATTGAGAAGCTCTGGCACCTCCATGCTTTGGAGAAGGGACTTGAAATTTGGGGGTATTACCGTGGTATCAGGGATGTGTCGTTTCCAATTCCCTTGGAAACCTACCCAAATTTGGCCAAGTTATAAACCTTTGAAAAATCTCAATTTGCACATGCTCAGACTAGTTAGAATTTGTCATCTAAATTCTCTAAAGATTTCAGCTGCACTGGGCATGCTCCAGCCCAAGGAGGCTGGGGCAGAGCTGGACTTTGCCTGCAGTTGCTACTCCTGGCAGCCAGGGCCTGGCACAGGAACTGACAGCAGGGAAGCAAAAACCCTTGCGAATTTGAAGAGAAGCTGTGTAATTCTTCCTCACCTAGTTTATGACAATGTGATTAAGGTGGCGTGGGAATTTCCTAACAAGACATACACTACAAAGATAGTGTATGTCCAGTTGTGCAGGTGAACCATAGTTGCATAGTTGAACCATCTGAAGCGTGTTATGGAACATGGTGCCCCAGTAACTGGTAAGTTCCTTTTCAATTCTGCATAGAATCCTCCCTCCCTCCCTACCTCCATGGATGATTTATTGCGTTCTACATCCCACTGTGAAAACTGTTTGACATGGAGGGTTCTAATTCTGCCTAGAACAGTCAACTCTGTTGCCTGAAATGGTGGCAGCTCACAATTCCTCTTGGTCTAAACATCTATTCTAACATCTATTAGGTTTCATCTGAACTGCAGCTGACTGTTGTATGGTATAAAATATGTTAGCCTAGTGTGGCAAATATGTTCATTACTTAATTTGTTTTCATACTGATGTTGTGTAACAGTATTAAAATAAAATATTTATGTGTAAAAGCTGCGCAGGAAACATTGCTCTAAAAGAATGTGTAAGTATTTTCTGAATGAAACATTTTAGGTTAGTTTGATGCATTTTAATTAAAATGTAATGACATTTGTTTTTGTAGTTAATTATTTAAATATATTTACCAACATGCACATAACAATACCACACAACCTGTAAGACCTATAAGAAGTGCAACATGACTAAAGGCCTAATTTTGATTTCATTTATGTTTATGTAAATCAGATGCAACTCTAAGGAAGTCCAGGTAGTTGCACTGTGATAGAACTAGTGTAAGTAAAATTGGAATCAAGATTTCTAGGTCCGTCTGCTCTCAGGAGGCTCATGAAATACACAAGTTCAGCTGCATCAGATAACACTGGAGGACTAAACCATTGATTGTCCTGGGAACAAGACTGGGCTCAATGCTACTTCCTCTAGCATATGATAGGAACTGTGAGTGCATTGCGTCTGAAATGGGTCTCTGATGTGTGTCATTTCTGATCTCTTAGTATGCCAATCCATGGATAGAGTGCCTCACCCCATAGCATCTAGGTACCCAAAAGCAAGATATATTTGTCCTTCCCAGCACAAATAGCCTGATTTTCCCGTCTACTAGTTCATTAGAGCAAAGAAAAATAATAATAAAACTAGAATCTCATTTACTACAGTGTTGTTCCTAAAAAGCTGTCTAATTTTATCTGCAGTAATCAGAGAAAGTTGCCTCATTATCTGTAATATTAACTATACTTACTGTAGGAAATGCCTTAAAATACTGCATAAACTGAGGTTATCTAAATGAACTTTCTTGTGTAATTACCTAAGGCAATTGACCAAAGGGGAATGGGGAGTTGTTAAGGGCCAGATTCTACCACTCTTAATCATGTTGAGTCACACCTTATTTTGCAGGTAGTCCCACTGAAATCAATGGGACTAGTAGCAATTCACTGCTTAGCGTTTGGGTTTTTGTTTTTGTTTTTAATTGTAAATCTTCTGAAAAAGTAAAAGGCTGCTTCACGCTTTCTGCAACTTAAAAAAAAGTGATTTTGTGAATTCACAGAAAGGATTGATCAATTTACAGTAGAAGAAAAGTTGCTTTAAAGAAACAATTTGTCACTAAGACAGAAAATCTCTTCTCAGTGTAAAGATATATAGCCTGTTTCTGCTTTCACACTGATTTTATAGTATCAAAACTCCTCTGAGGTCAGTGTAGTTATTCTGGATACACATTGGTGCAACTGAGAACAGGACCAGGTCCAAAATCAGAAGCAGCCTATTTCCTGGTTCCAGTGGGCAGGAATGCTGGAACCATTTTTATAGTGGCGATGCTGAGAACCATTGAACCAAACTGTAAACCCTATATGGATGGAAGCCACTTCAAGGGAGAGGGTGTGTGGCAGCACCCCCAGCACCTCTAGTTCCGGCACTTGTGACAAGGGGCTGAAATCTTGTATCACACATGTATCACAAGTACAGCTCACAAGAATTTAGCATTGTCAATTCTGAGTTTGCTAGCTCTGACTCAGTCTAGAACCAAAACCTCAATCTAATCTCAATCCACTTCTGAATACAAATTCCTCGACCCACCTGTTGTTACTTTGTAATATATGCAAGAATGTACTCGATGCTGTAGCAGACACAAAATGAAGATAGGGCTCTCCCTTAAGAGTTTGTGTGTAATATTTAAATGTTAGGAGTCGGTGTGATTTTTTGAGATGAGTGGTGTGCTATACAGTTGTCTCAGTGTTTTACAGTATAACATGCCATTAGCTCTCTTGTGCTGTGAATCATCCTGTTTTATAAACAGATCTTAGAAAGTAGGAGTGGTCTTTTGGCTGCTGAATTTTTTTCTCTCTGTGTCATTCTTTGTGCCTCTCTGTACCTTTTACAGAAAGCTGAAATGAAAGAGATTTAGATTCTGATGAACTTGATGTAGCTGCTCTCCATGTCTGTGCTAAACGGTAAGTTTGTCAATCGGCTGCTATTTCAGACAAATCATTGGTGTTTATTCATGTCTGTGGTTTTCTTTCCTCTATTGTACACTAAGATTCTCAGCATTGATTTCAAGGCATGCAGCAGCAGCAGAGTTAATAAAACTGGATTGGGAGTATCCCTCTGACAAAAATAAAACCCTAGTGGAAATGTACTCTTTGTTTCCACCTGCTTAGTTTTGTTATCCACACAAAATTTGGTCCTATAGCAGAACAATTCTCAGGCTAACTCTAAAAGAAAAAAAGTTTTAATATATCTTCAAATATACTTCTCCTTTTTCCACCACCACCTTTTAAAGTATACATTACAGAGTACAAGAGTAAACTAACATTAAACTTTCCTACTAGCTGCGCTTAAGGGCTTCCACTATTTGGAAATGACTGAAATTTTTTAACTAATTAGTCTTTTTTCTGAGTTAATCGTACACTGATTGTACACTGCTGAAGTTGAGGTTAGTAAAGAATTTGAGTGGCTTCTGTATTTGATTATGATTGATCATTTACGCCCCAGTCTTGCAACGTCTGTATGGGTGGACCACTGCGCCAGTGCAGAGCCCCCACTGACTTTACACATGAAAGTTCCCTGGATCCCCTTTTCCTATACATATTCCATCCTCCTCGATATCTTCTGTTCAGCCTGCCTTCCCAGCCTGCCCATTTACTTTTCTTCTTTGTGTCTCTTTTCCATGTTCCTCTTTCCTATGTTCGTCTTTGTTCCCCTCTCGTTTCTATACACATTTGTCTTTCTTCTCTAAATGAGAACATATTTTAAAACAGTTAAGGGATCTTTGCAGCTATGCCTCCCATGCCTACCTATGACTATTTCATCTGTTATATATTATAAATATATTTATTTCACGGACTCATAGTGCAGCCATCACAGAACGAACTTACTTCAATTTTAACTCAGAAATCAAAAAAGTAAGAACAAAACTAGACGACAATTTAAATTAGATTTAATTTGGACAGTCAGAGGAACTGAGTCCTATAGGATAGGACTTTTACTGAGAATTCCCTGATAATGCTGCTCTCATGTTGCTGGAGCCTGTGCCAGTTAATGCCACTTGGGAACTCAGCGTCATGATAAAGGCCCCACAACACTGGAGGAACATCTGCCATGTTCTCAAACATAGTTTAGCATTAGACAGATGCTGGAGCGGGCATAGTATGATGTGTAATGTGACACTAAATGATTTAAAATTTGGAGGAAAGGTTGGAGACTCACAGAAAGAGGAGAAACAGAGCATAGAAGACAGTACCTCAAAAGCCTGCTAAGTGGGAAATTCTGTTTAGCTAGGCTTTTAATTAGTAAGAACTAATGGGGTACATGTAAACTTTTCCAAATGCAGGGTCTAAAATATGGTACAGACAATAATTAAAAATCTTTAAAATAAACCCCATTTATACATACAATAAGATGACAGTTCTTTTCTTTTCTTTTCATAGTTTTAAAGGACTTTTGCAGTGTTACGGACGTTTATAATTTTTAGATAATTACGTCAACATTTAACTCTTAACATTTTTAATTGTGTGGACTACTCACATTAGGACAAATTCTGCCTTAATTGCCTTGCACAGCATGTAGGCACTGCTTCTGCTCCTATTGAAGACAATGGTAAAATTGTGCACTTTGACAATCAGGGCCCCAGATACTAGGGTGATGAGTGCTTCAGAAAAGCTGACAGACAAGTTAAAGCATGCAACATCATTTCATGATATATTTGAGAGCAGAATTTGGACTGTTGGACTCTAATGCTAATTTCTCTCTGTTTCTAAATGAAGTTTTCCTGTACAGTATCTATGAGGTGCTATCTACCACAACAGATTCCTCTTTCAACGTTCTTTGTTCTAACTCTCTTCCGTCTCATTTTCTTGAACCTGGATACATTTAGTATATAATATATTTCTTGTTTGCATTGTGCTGCTCACAGCTCTTTCTAGAGGATCATTTGAGAGAGTGGATATATTGCTATAGCCCTATTTCTGGTATGTTGTTGTTGGCACTGTAGGCTGACAACTGGTAGGATTTAGAATTATTCTTTGAAAAATTTTCTTGTAGTACTCATTACTCATTTATAGGTGTATTGGTTGATTGCATTGGTGCCTACACACTGCAGTTTTGGTGCCTATAAATACACAAGATAGATATGACTGCAAATTAGTAGAGGTGGTAATAATACAAAAACATTTTTGCAAATTTGTTTACATTTTAAAATTAATTCTCTTTGGCAAATTTCGTGCCTTTCTCATATTTATTTCTGTGAATATGTGAATTATTAAATTTGGCTGGCAAAAATGTTCATGGAAAGTGAATTTCTAAATTGTGTATACAAGCTCTAGGAAAGATGACTTAGTGTGACAGTGATGTGGCCACTAGTATGTGATATGTTTTACATGCACAATTTATCACAAGCCTAAAATAATTTACTGTATCAAATGGATACTACCTCCACCTATATGGTGTATATATATCTTCAAATATGCAATGGATTTGAAAACCTCATGATGGGTGAGCAGAAATAATCAGCCTGATTCTAAACATAATGAGAAAAATAAGCAATATTTCATTATGAATTCAGATTCATTATTAATTATTTGTTCAGCTGTGCTAAATATTCTGGGGGGAATGGAAAGACTTCAGCAGTGTATGGCTGAGCCATCAACCCTGAGGCACAAAGTACAGGGGTTGCTCTGAAGGTAATTTGGATGGTATATAAGCAGCAAAAATAGACAGAAGCACAGTTTGAAGTTTACTGGATGTAATGGTGTAAGGCTTTTGCTTACTTTCTAATTCTGGGGTGCCTTTTCTCATTCCTCTCCATTCACATTCATAGCACTCATGATCACTGCAAATGGGAAAAGCAGACAGTCAAAAATGAGAATGCCGTGCTGCTTTATAATGAGAAGCAATGGAGAGGTACAGGTACGTGTGGTATAGGCTATAAATCTTCTCCTTAAGTGCTGTGTTGCTGTAAGCTTTGAATAGCTAGAGGAATTAGAGTCCATGATCTGATGCTTTGCATCTTTTACGTGGCATTGTGTTCTGGATCATTGGGCTAGTCATAATTTACTTTTGGGTAAACATAGCTGGGTGTATTTAATACAATATAACTTTATTTTGTACAGGGTATTTCACATGAATTATGGAATCGCTGTGATAAGTTTCCTTTTGACTACAATAGGTGCAGGATCAGGCTTTCTATATCAATATTCTTTATGGAGTCAAATAATACAAAGACAATGATAAAATGAAAAATCATTTGCAGAAGGAGGCACAGATAAGGGAGGAAAGCTATGTTTTTCACATTAGTTTTGAAAATTGATGGCAAGTCAATGAGGAGTTAGAAGGAGACTGTTGCAGATGTTGGGGGCTGCAGAGGAAGAAGGTTTGCACACTGACATTTGTCCATATGTGGGAAGGGGCAAGTAAGAGGATGTCACTAAAGAAGCAGAGGAAGGAGGTAGAAAAAACAGCTTAAAATCAGTGGCAGTGCCAGAACAAGCCTCTGGTCTTTAAGATAGGCTGGAGCAAGTCCACTTAAAAACCAGGAGCAAAATTCTTTGCTAGGGAAACTTCACTGGCTCCATTGGAGTTACACTAAAACTGTCTTCTGCCCTGAATATGGTGGCAGTGGATTTGTTTCAGGATGGGAGTGATGTAGTTGCTCTTTGTGGTTGTGTGAGAAGACAGGCTACAAGATTCTGGGCGGGCTGGAGTCTGGAGTGGTGGGACCTGAGTGTGAGGGAAGCACAGAATCTTCAAATGCTGTAGTGGGGGTGAATAGGTGACAATTTGAGGTAGTGTTTCCAGTTTAGGTTGTGTGACAGACCCAGAGCAGTTGGGTGGAGGAGTCTGGTAGCAGGCAAATATACTGGCCACTGGATGAATAGTTTTCTGTTCACTGACTGACCAGAGCAGGGGCTGCCCTAGAGCAATCAGGAACCTGCCAGAACGAACTAAGACAGGCAAGCTAATTAAGACACCTGTAGCCAATTAAGAACTTAGTAGAATCAATTATGGCAGGCAGGCTAATCAGGACACCTGTTTTAAAAAGAACCTCCCATCAGTTAGTGGGGGGCGTGCAAGGAGCAGGGAGTGAGAAGGCATGCTGCTGGAGGACTGAGGAGTACAAGTGTTCTCAGACTTCAGGAGGAAGGCTCTGCAGTGAGGATAAACAAGGTGCTGGGGGGAGGCCATGGGAAAGTAGCCCAGGGAGTTGTAGCTGTCACACAGCTGATACAGGAGACATTGTGGACAGCTGCTATCCACAGGGCCCTGTGCTGGAACCTGGTGTAGAGGGTGGGCCCGTGTTCCCCCCCATTCCCCCGACTCCCTGTCTGACACAGGAGGAGTTGACCTGGTCTGTGAGACACAAGAGGGGAAGGTCTAATTTGGAAAGGGATCTGGCCCGTCCCTGACCCACTAGGTGGGACAAGAGATTGTTCTCTGTTCCCCCAATGCTGGCCAGTGATGAGGTTAGCTGTGTGAATGGCAGGTTTGAGCCTGTAGCAAAAGCGGCCAAACTGAAGGCTGCCGTGAATTTCTGAGGTGAGCAAATCCGCCAGAAAGCGCAGGACCTACCAAGGCAGAGGAGGAACTTTGTCACAGTTGTTTCGGTTTTTTTTTTTTTTTTTTTTAGTTGAAGAGGGAGAACTGAACAACTGTATTCTACTTTTATTGAATATTACAGAAGAAGTGAAAAATTCCTTTCAGATCACTTTTAGTTAAGGCATCTTGAGGTTTTGGTGTTATTTTAGTCTCTGGCTTTGACTAAGCCCTGGTCTACACTAGGACTTTAGGTCGAATTTAGCAGCGTTAAATCAAAGTAAACCTGCACCCATCCACACGATGAAGCCCTTTATTTTGACTTAGATCGAAATAAAATCGATTTCCTTACTCCACCCCTGACAAGTGGATTAGCGCTTAAATCGGCCTTGCCGGGTCGAATTTGGGGTACTGTGGACACAATTCGACGGTATTGGCCTCCAGGAGCTATCCCAGAGTGCTCCATTGTGACCGCTCTGGACAGCACTCTCAACTCAGATGCACTGACCAGGTAGACAGGAAAAGAACCGCGAACTTTTGAATCTCATTTCCTGTTTGGCCAGCGTGGCAAGCTGCAGGTGACCATGCAGAGCTCATCAGCAGAGGTGACCATGATGGAGTCCCAGAATCGCAAAAGAGCTCCAGCATGGACTGAACGGGAGGTACAGGATCTGATCACTGTATGGGGAGAGGAATCCGTGCTATTAGAACTCCGTTCCAGTTTTCGAAATGCCAAAACCTTTGCAAAATCTCCCAGGGCATGAAGGACAGAGGCCATAACAATGACCCAAAGCAGTGCCGTGTGAAACTTAAGGAGCTGAGGCAAGCCTACCAGAAAACCAGAGAGGCGAATGGCTGCGCCGGGTCAGAGCCCCAACCATGCCACTTCTATGATGAGCTGCATGCCATTTTAGGGGGTTCAGCCACCACTACCCCAGCCATGTTGTTTGACTCCTTCAATGGAGATGGAGGCAACACGGAAGCAGGTTTTGGGGATGAAGAAGATGATGATGATGAGGTTGTAGATAGCTCACAGCAAGCAAGCGGAGAAACCGGTTTTCCCGACAGCCAGGAACTGTTTCTCACCCTGGACCTGGAGCCAGTACCCTCCGAACCCACCCAAGGCTGCTTCCTGGACCCGGCAGGCGGAGAAGGGACCTCCGGTGAGTGTACCTTTTAAAATACTATACATGGTTTAAAAGCAAGCATGTGAAAGGATTAATTTGCCCTGGCATTCGCGGCTCTCCTGGATGTACTCCCAAAAGCCTTTGCAAAAGTCCATGGTAGGACACTTTACCACTCCAGGGCAGTAACACGTACTCGGGAATCATTGTACAACAAAACATTGCAGTGTATGTTTGCTGGCGTTCAAACAACATCCGTTCTTTATCTCTCTGTGTTAACCTCAGGAGAGTGAGATATCATTCATGGTCACCTGGTTGAAATAGGGTGCTTTTCTTCAGGGGACACTCAGAGGAGCCCATTCCTGTTTACCTGTGGCTGAACAGAAATGTTCCCCGCTGTTAGCCACGGGGAGGGGGGAGGTTGAAGGGGTAGCCACGCGGTGGGGGGGAGGCAAAATGCGACCTTGTAACGAAAGCATGTGTGCTATGTATGTAATGTTAACAGCAAGGTTTACCCTGAAAGAGTGTAGCCACTGTTTTATAAAATGTGTCTTTTTAAATACTGCTGTCCCTTTTTTTTTCTCCACCAGCTGCATGTGTTTCAATGATCACAGGATCTGCTCCTTCCCAGAGGCTAGTGAAGATTAGAAAGAAAAAAAAACGCACTCGTGATGAAATGTTCTCTGAGCTCATGCTGTCCTCCCACACTGACAGAGCACAGATGAATGCGTGGAGGCAAATAATGTCAGAGTGCAGGAAAGCACAAAATGACCAGGAGGAGAGGTGGCGGGCTGAAGAGAGTAAGTGGCGGGCTGAAGAGAGTAAGTGGCGGGCTGAAGACAGGGCTGAAGCTCAAATGTGGCGGCAGCGTGATGAGAGGAGGCAGGATTCAATGCTGAGGCTGCTGGAGGACCAAACCAGTATGCTCCAGTGTATGGTTGAGCTGCAGCAAAGGCAGCTGGAGCACAGACTGCCACTACAGCCCCTGTGTAACCAACCGCCCTCCTCCCCAAGTTCCATAGCCTCCACACCCAGACGCCCAAGAACGCGTTGGGGGGGCCACCGGCCAACCAGCCACTCCGCCACAGAGGATTGCCCCAAAAAAAGAAGGCTGGCATTCAATAAATTTTAAAGTTGTAAACTTTTAAAGTGCTGTGTGGCATTTTCCTTCCCTCCTCCACCACCCCTCCTGGGCTACCTTGGTAGTCATCCCCCTATTTGTGTGAGGAATGAATAAAGAATGCATGAATGTGAAGCAACAATAACTTTATTGCCTCTGCAAGCGGTGATTAAAGGGAGGAGGGGAGGGTGGTTAGCTTGCAGGGAAGTAGAGTGAACCAAGGGGCGGGGGGTTTCATCAAGGAGAAACAAAGAGAACTTTCACACCGTAGCCTGGCCAGTCATGAAACTGGTTTTCAAAGCTTCTCTGATGCATACCGCTCCCTCCTGTGCTCTTCTAACCGCCCTGGTGTCCGGCTGTGCGTAACCAGCAGCCAGGCGATTTGCCTCAACCTCCCACCCTGCCATAAACGTCTCCCCCTTACTCTCACAGATATTGTGGAGCACACAGCAAGCAGTAATAACAGTGGGAATATTGGTTTCGCTGAGGTCTAAGCGAGTCAGTAAACTGCGCCAGCGTGCCTTTAAACGTCCAAATGCACATTCTACCACCATTCTGCACTTGCTCAGCCTGTAGTTGAACAGCTCCTGACTACTGTCCAGGCTGCCTGTGTACGGCTTCATGAGCCATGGCATTAAGGGGTAGGCTGGGTCCCCAAGGATAACTATAGGCATTTCAACATCCCCAACAGTTATTTTCTGGTCTAGGAATAAAGTCCCTTCCTGCAGCTTTTGAAACAGAGCAGAGTCCCTGAAGATGCGAGCGTCATGTACCTTTCCCGGCCATCCTACGTTGATGTTGGTGAAACGTCCCTTGTGATCCACCAGAGCTTGCAGCACTATTGAAAAGTACCCCTTGCGGTTTATGTACTTGCCGGCTTGGTGCTCCGGTGCCAAGATAGGGATATAGGTTCTGTCTATGGCCCCACCACAGTTAGGGAATCCCATTGCAGCAAAGCCATCCACTATGACCTGCACATTTCCCAGGGTCACTACCCTTGATATCAGCAGATCTTTGATTGCGTGGGCTACTTGCATCACAGCAGCTCCAACAGTAGATTTGCCCACTCCAAATTGATTCCCAACTGACCGGTAGCTGTTTGGCGTTGCAAGCTTCCACAGGGCTATCGCCAC